AATCATTGTTGCTCAATGAATAGTCATTAGATTCAATATGTCTAAAAATTATACTAATATATATAATACATTAAAATTTGGAAAAATTACAATAAAAAAAAAGAAAAAGAAAAAGGATTTGAGCCTTGTACCCAAACAAATTTTGAATTTTGAATTTTATCAGTTTAAAACCTAATATATTGGTTTATTTTTAATTTGAATCATTTGTCTATTTTCGTTAACTAAAATTGGTGAAAAAATATTTTAGTCATTATACTCATTGTAAGTGTACAAAAAAAAATAATACCTAACATATCATTTTTAATTAAGTTTAATGACTGAAATATTACTTTTTGTTAGTTTTACTTAACAAAAATAGGCGAATGGTTTTAGTTTGAAAACAAATAAAAAATTAGAGTTTAAATTGACAAAATTAAAAATTAAAAATTTATTTTGTTATAAGGCTAAAACCTTGAGTTTTTTTATAAATGTTTTTCCCTTAAAATTTTATCATTTTTCCTATTTGGACTATTGTAATTAACATGACCCAAATAACAATAATAAATAAATAAAATTTACCATTGCACTGTCCATAACAATCACCCATTATTAAATTATACTAACTTTTTTTAAGATATGAAAAAAAAAATTAATTCTATAAATTTGGCCTCTTTAAAATATAAATTCACATAATATTTTGTTATCTTACTACCGACTATGCATTATTTTAGTTACTGAAATCTTGATTAATATTATATCCTTGAACCACTTGCATTAGTCTTTTTTTTTAATTCTTCTTTTTTTAAAGAAAAATTATTGATTCACCGAATTTGAACTTGTCCAAATTGCCTAAATTACATAAGCCAAACGACCGGCCAAACGACCGTCAGACGACCTGCGTCACCCTTGTCAACCTACATTCACTCATACAACCATTCCAATGACTGGCCGGACGATTGGCATAAATAAATTTGGACAATTCAGGCGAGTCCAAATTTGGTGAATCTAATAATGCTATTTTTTAAAAAGTTAAAATTATGTCAAATTTATAAAAATTATTATATTTTTTCAACTTTAGAAGAGGCATATTTAGGACTATTTTGGGAATTTGACACTTTTTAACTTTTAACCTATTTTATGTCATAATAACTCTCTATTTTTTTAAAAAAAAAATTAAAAAAATTAAGCTTTAACTTATTTCCCAAAACAAGCCCTTAATTATTCTTATCAAAATAGAAAAGAGGGAGAATTATAACCTTGAAGGGAAAATTTAAAAAAAAAAAAAAAAATCATTACTATATTTGAATAATAATAATACTAATGCTTGACCTTTAGGTGACAATAGCTAACAACCAGTCCAACTTCCAAGGAAAAAGCGGATTTTAAAAAGAGATATATTAGCAATTCTTAATAATTTATTATTTTTTGAGCCGTGATCCATACACCCAGTGGGGGTCGCGCCCCCAGTGACGTGGCGCGCCTCCACTGGCTGAAAACTTAAAAAAAAAAAAAAAAAAAAACAGTTTTTTTTTTTGGACCAATCCGGGGCCGACACCTCACTGGGGTCGACCCCCAGTGGGGGTATGAAGCTTTTTTCTTATTTTTTTTATCAAATCTCTTATATGAATATGATATTTATATACATATAGATTTGTATAGATTCCACACTCAAATAGAAGATTTGATAAAAAATTTAATAAATTATTTAAAAATTCATAACATTTTTATTTTAAAAGTTATTGGGGGTTGCTATAGTTGTGTAGTTGGCGTTATAATAAGTTATTTTAATAATTTTTGAATTTTTTATAAAAGATATATAAAAAAAAGTAAAATGTTATATTATTTTAAAAAATAAAAAGATAATAAATATGTTATTTTAATACAATGGTGCTAGGACCCAGCATCTCCGGTAGCCAAAAAAAAAATCTTCCAATCATGCAGTGCCATGTGGCGAGGGAGTTCATTGGGGCTGGGGTCTTAAGCTTTATGCATTTTAATATGTACCCAACCCAACCAATTCTTCATTTTGATAGTAATTAGTTAAACAGGGATGATATAAAAAGATGTTCTATAATAATTGACGTATAGCATGGCTCTAAGAAAGCAAAATGTAAAGTAGTGTTTGCTTATTAGAATGAAGAAAAGTAATATGATCATTTATTAAAATATTTATTTTAATATTTGGTTAGATTAAAAAAATAATGATAATCATATTATAAGTGAAATAATATTTTACTATTTTAACCAAGACAAATGGTCATTCTATAAAAAAAAAAATTTAAAGAATTATTATTTTATTCCATTATATTTTATTTTGATGAATTAAATAGAAAAGAAAATTCATAAAATAAGATACGAATGTGACATTTTTCCTCACATTTGTATGATGCCGTGTAAATCTTCCAGGTTGACAGCATTCAGTTGGTTTGGTTCTACTTTTTAAAAAACAGTTTTTAGGATTTTTTTTTTTATTTTTCGTATTTTAATGTTTCTAAAGAATTTTTTTAATATTTTAAGAAATTATTTTTAATTTTTAGACATGCCTAACATAAATATACTTAAAAAATATAACATTTATGAAAAATATCTTTAAAAAATACACTACCAAAAAATAAGAAAATTCAGTATATTTTTCATACTTTTTGTGTTTTATTAATTTTTTAAAATATTTTTTCATAAATATTTTACTATTTAAATACATTTAAGCAATGTGCATCTAAAAATATTAAAAAAATTGCTTAAAATTAAAAAATATTCACTAAAAATAAAAAAATACAAAAAATAAAAATCTCAATTTTCAAAAAATTAAAACCAAACACACAATTGTTTTTCAACAACTTTCTCTCTTTCCATGTGAGAAAGGCAAAACAAAGCAAGAAGAATAATGAAAGTAAAAGCCAAGTGGGGACAATTTTAAAGGGGGGGGGGGCTGGCTGGGGGACCCAATCTCAAAGACTCTAGCTAATAAGTTTAGGATTTGGCTTCCTTCTAATCCGATCATAGATTGAAAGGTGTTGTTAGACTTGTAGAGGTCTATCATGAGTTTCATTTCGATAATTCGAACCATTCAATGTATAGAACTTTTCGAGTAATATGTGCCTGTAAAAAATCACTTTGATCAGATATTGATAACTACATAATCAAATCAGTTTTGTATAAAAAAAATAGATGATGAAAAATAAATGGTTTAGAGAAATTTGATCCGATGAGATAGCTATCGATATTCAATTAGCGTAATTTTTTACAAGCCCATAGTATTCAACGAATTCTACATATTAAACGATTCGGATTATCAAAACGGGATTCGTGATGAGCCTCTACGGACCTCACAACACTCTCTAATTCGTTCACAAATTAGAGGGAAGCCAGACCTAAGTGAAAATGACTTTTTAATGGAATAGGTTTGGTAAACAATAGTTGGGCAAAGTGTAACTGCTAGTGACAATACTATTATCTGTATCCACTGAAAATCAGTCTTAACCAATGAAAAGAAAACTAACAGTTAATCACTCCCCTAATCATGTTCAAAAGTTGGGGCCACAAACGTTGTCTAGAATATTATGTGGGTCTCTTTAGTCATTAGCTTTAAAATTTTCCATATATTTATATGAAAAATGTTACATACAATTTTATTTATATTTATATTTTTACAGTTCAAGACACCAATAAGTAGATTTCATATGTATTTCAATAATGATAAGTAATTCTAATTTTAAAATTCTAAACAGAACTCTAGTGATGTAACAAGAAAAAAAAATAAAAATATAAGTACACACATTACATTACATGTTGATCCCACTCATTGTCACATTACTAGAGCTCTCTTTAAAATTTTAAAATTAAAGCTCTCAATCTTTATTTTATGTATTTATGAATATGAGTCCCATTATTTTATAAATGAAAAATTAAAATAAAAAATAAAATTATGTGTAACATTACTCTAATATGTAAAATTGACGCGTTTTGCATAGTAATGGAAGTGGTTCGATTTGTACCAAAGGAACTCAATTAGAGCATCATGAGTTGTTCCCTTATCTTGACTCCTTTTGTTTGTTGTTGGAATGTCACTTCCATCCACTGATTTTGGCATCCTGGAGTTACCTACAGACCAAGAGTGACATGGGTTTGCCCGACCCGAACACATAAATGAGTTCAATTACACAAGGGTCAAATCCAAATTTGCTCCCACCAAAAACATTATTCATAGGTTTTTGTTTTGAGAGGGGGGTGGGTGGAAGATTTCTCCTAACCTTTTAAAGTCATTGTAAACGGATGAATCATAAACATAAATTGTACCAATCACTTGTAAATGTTTTTTTTTAAAGAATTCCACAAGTTGCACTACAAAGGATAATTGTCTCTAATGGGGCTGCTTTATTCCAAAATTTATGAAGGTTAAAAAAGAAGATTAGAACATGCTAACTAAAGAGGCAATAATGAAAGGTGTATGCATGCACCACACAAATCTGTTTGAACATCTCCAACTATTTCTTCAAATTTGAAAATGTTTAAATTTGACATCACTAAATTAAGCACTCCAATCAAGGTCTCAAATTTATTAATTTATTATATATATATATATGTATTTGCATAGGTTTGTGTTTCAATTTTTTTCGACAAACCCACAATGTGCGATGATCACAAGGAACCAAAAGAATAAATTTGGCATCCACTCCCCAAAATGTTAAATTGGACAGCAGGATAATGCCAACCTCCAAGTTTTTTGGGTGAATCAATCTCCAAGTAGCCAACTACGCCAAAGGCATCTTCTTTGGAGCGCTTATAAACACATCAAATATTGTTTTTTTGACTTGCCACATAATATTTCGCATATTTGTTGGAGGTTTCTTTCATCCAACTTGCCCTTGAACCATCTTGGTCACAATTTCTGTTTCTTGTCAGCATTTATGTATCAAAACTAGAGGGGGCCAAGCTCACTAAGATTCCGATTATGATGGAACCAAAGATGAAAGCCATTATAAATTTCTCAGATAATACAATTCAACCAGCTATGGAAGAGATTGCGTAAATGGCCCAAAGTCACATATTAGGAGACAACAATCCAAAAATCCATTTAAAAGGGCACTAACAAAAAACCACACAGAACAAGAAAGAATGGAACTCAACAATCCCTATGTATATTCTACTATACTACAAGGATATCCAATGTGTGACCCAGACATTATACAAATGATGAATAGAAAAGGGAAGTCTGTCTCTCTCTAATAGATAATAAACCTTGTGACATCTCAAACAACTGGTGATGAGAAGGGGATGATGACACAGAATTAGACACTCACATGGAAACTCATTGCATCAATAGATCATGACGCAAAGGGCTGTTGCCTGCCTTGTCCGTTGTATCCATCATAGGGCTTAGTTGACTTGTTAGACTTCCTCCTCAAGACTACAACCCATGTAATTGCTTCCAACAAAATAGCAATAATACCCAACCCAGAGATCACAATTATGTAAGCCGATCTCCACTTCTTTGCAGGTAGCAAGATGTCTAGCCCCTTAAACACATTGATGATGCCAAGGATGACTATGGCATATCCCATACTGTGATGATATATATTCCAGTAAAATCGGAACTTGTGGTCCTTCCGTGGTCTTAGGAGCAATGCAAAAACCTATATGAAAAGCAATGCAGAGAGTGAAAACTCATCAAAAGATAAAACATTTAAAAACCAGTATCAAATAAATTGTTGCATACTAATACACCCTCAGATAGACAAAATGACAAAACTAATGCGAAAATTATAATATCCAGCAACAAAGCATTCAAACCAAAAGCTAAGAGAAGAAAACAGTTTAAATTCCCTAGCACTCCAAGTACATGAACGAGTATAAATGAATGTAAGTTTTCATGGAAGTCAGGTAGTATCCCAATTTTATACCATATCAATTTTTACATCATCTCAAAATTTTAATACAACGCTTAAAATTCTAAAATTGTATTAGTCTAAATGTTTTCAGTTTCATTACAGGCTTCAAGACAAATGACATCAATACTCAAGGGTAATGACAAATAACAACAACAACAACCAACCAACCAACCAACCAACCAATCATATAAGTACAATGAACACAACATTACACAACTTTCTACAAGAAATTTTGTTGAAGAGAAGAATACCTGCACAGTTGCTAGACAGAAGAGTGCAATCCCAATGTTGCGATGATGAGTGTATTGCACCCCCTTCGATTCACTTCCAAGCTTAAGTCCTGTTCCCCATCCAGCAACCCCAATAGCATAGGAAGAAGACTGGCAAAGGGCGTGGAGATAAAACCATGCAGGATCGGCCGACTGGAAAGTTCTCAGGTACCTTGCGATGATGGCTCCAACAGGAAACATGATTCCCCAACTCACAACATTCAAAACCCCATGAAGCTGACACAACAACAATCTAATTCAATTACCGAGATATAAAATAAAAAATAAAACATTTACTAGCCTACTCTACCCTGCAGCTGATAGATCTATTACCGATACGAGCAACGATTTAGACCACTAATTTTGATACTCTAATAGAGCACTAATAATAGGGCAATGAACAAAAAATAAAATAAAATAAAAACAAATCAAGACCAAGAGTACACTGTCAACTCATTAGAGCTACCTTTAGATCTAAAAAATTAGAACTCCAAAACATTTTTCTGCCAATAAACCTTTCATATGATGATTTTGCTTTGTTCTGTATTTTCTTTTAGGTAATTGTTGGGTGATAAAACCGTCCAAACAATTCCAAAATCACTCATTTCAGTTTCATAAAAACCACTGGCTCTTCAATTTCACACACAACAAATTCATTTTTTATTTGAAAAAAAAGAAAAAGAAAAAAAAGAAGTTGCTTTCAAAAATTAAAGATCTGGGACTATAATATCTAAAACGGAAAAGCAAAAGAAACAAAAAACGCAGTTTCCGCTATATCTCAGATACCGTTCTTCCAAATACTGACAACATATACTCAAAGCCTGTTAGATATTGTAGTGATCTATATCTGTCTTTTTCCCCCCCAAAAAAAAATAAAAATAAAAATAAAATCAACTTTTTGGAACCTAAAATCTGTTGATCAATCCATAAAAGCCTGTAAAACAGATAGAAGACAGAGAACTCTTGTTCATATCTCAATCATATTCACAGTAAAATAAATAAGGATTAAATTTTATTGATTTTTTTTTAAAAAAAAAAAAAAAAGAAGAAGAAAAAATGGAAGTAAATTTGGAATGAGAGAGAATAAACGTACATTTTTCCTCCTTGTCCTAGATCCCCCTCCGGTAACACCATTGCTCTGTCCCTTCAACAAATCTAGGGTTCCTATAGAGTTAAGATTCGCGGCCTGAAAAGCATGCGGGTTCGGAGAACCATTAGTAACCGAAGGCCCAACCTGCCAGACCTGGTTCAGAGTCGTCGCCGTGTTGTTCGGCAAAGTCAGCGTCGCAAAAATCCTCATCATACTTCCCGATGACTCGGCAGACACGGCCGTAAAATCGAAAGAAAGATTCGAAGGCGCGTTCAAGCTTTTGGAACTGATATTGAAGGTCTTCACAGTCATCACACCGTTCGAGTTCTTGAAGGCTACGAAAGCCTGAGACCCGACCATTCCGGTGGCTGTAGGGTTTATGGCCCATGAAATCCAGCCGTCGGATTGCGCCGGAGGAGCGACGAAGGCTATGGAGAGAGTCGAATTGGAGGAGTAGTAGGTCCAGTGGAGGTAGGAGCTCAACTGTGTCAAATCGCTGCAGTATTCGTAGAGCTTGTTCGTGAAGGACTGTGTGGTACAAGTGAGAGATTGTGATGGCGAGATTTGGGAAATCGCGAGTAAAAGCCCTAGAATTAGAGCAGAAAAGCGAAGAGAAGCCATTGAAGACACAGATGAGAGAGGAGAGAAGTAATGGTAACGGCTAATTTTAGTGGACGTGTGGAGAGATTCCACTAATTGTGTTTGTGGCAGAGATCTATACCGTAATAGAGAGAGAAGAGAGACAGAGAAATGAAAGTGAAACGAGTTAGTGGGAGCTGGTATATAGTGCGTCATGATTCTCGTGTCTGTGAAGGTGTGTTAAAGTGTGCGAATTGGGTAATGACACGTAATCTGAATTCAATTCACGCGGTGATGGCAGACGTGGTTGACTCAAGGGCCCGTTTGTTTTGGGAGATAGAATGGAGGGGATTGATAGTGAGGGGATTAATAGTGAGGGGATTGTTAGTGAAGGGATTAATAGTGAGGGGATTAATAATGAGGAATTGTTAAATTATTTTTATATAAAATAATAAAACAAATAAAAAAATATAAAAAATTAAACATTATATTTAAAAAAAAATTCCCAATATATAAAAAATAAAAAAAATTCTAGTCCCCTCACTATTTTCTAATACCATCTCTACCTCCTCCTTACCAATCCCCCTTCCAAGGGTATTAGCAATACCAAGGGACTAATAGTCCCAACCCTTTCTCTGCAAACAAACAAACAGGGACTTTAGTAATACCTTGGTATTACTAGTTCCAATACCATCCCTATAGCCCAAAACAAACGGGGCCCAAGTGTCCTGGAAGTGAAGTCCCATAGCGTGGATGACACAACCTTTGTCTTATTACACCATCCCACACAAAATAGTAGTCTCTTTGAAATTCAACTCCTTTTTTTTTCATAATATAATTATTATATTTAAAATTAATTTTTTAAATTTATTATATTTTTTTAAAAATATCAATTATAATGAATATAAAAAAAAAGTAAAATAAAAAATTCATATTATTTTAGTCATTGATTTTTGAAAAAAATTAATATTTTGTGACAATAAAAAATAAAATAAGGAACTAATATTTTGAGACGGATAAAGTAACACTTTTATTTCCATGGATGGCACAATTATTAATGGGATTTAACCTTCATAACAAAATAAATATTTAATTTTTTTAATTTAAATTCTAAATAATAAGTCTATTATTGGATTGGATCATTCAATCATGCCAAATGGGTCCACTTTTAGAACTTATTTCGATAATTCGAACCGTTCATATTTTAACATTTGTCAAAAATATTATCTTTATAAAAAAATCAAGTTGATCATATAATAAAAATTGCATGTTTGAATTAATTTTATATGAATTGTTTATTTTCTAATCGTTCATTTTTTTTTATATACAAAACTAATATGAATATGTAATTTCCGTTATTTAATCAATTTAATTTTTTACATGAATAGTGTACTCGACAAATCTTAAAATATTTTTTGTATGAATGATATACACGACGAATTATAAAATGTGAATGGTTTGCATTATTAAAAAAGAGGGAAAAGTAGGTCCAATGAACCCAACAATACCTCTTGAGAGAAGCCAAGCCCTAATAAAAAGAGTTATGCTAGAGACTTTAAATAATGTATTAAATTTTTTACCAAATTTCTCATAGGTGTAGGATCTACACACATGTGAATTTATGTAAGACCCACACACATATAAATTTTTTTTTATAAATTATTTTAGATTTATAGTATTTTCTTAATTAAAAAATAGGAAAAGCATGCCCACTAAATTCCTTAATTCATGAATTATATATGTTTTTTTATTTTTTATTTTTTTAAGCAATATATGTGATTTTAGTTGCGTGGTCGGGTGCGTGAACGAGACGAGATGGACGTAGCGCAATTTTCGCGCTATTGATTGAGGCTTATTTTTGTCAATTTATTACCTGAATAATGTTATATGGATTAATTGATATATTAATAAATATATTAATAAATAATATAATATAATTTTAAAAAATTTATATATTTATAATTTATATAATGAGTGGACTCAATAATAATGACATAAGGTATGTTGATACATTAATTAATATATTAATTAATACATATTGTATTATCTTTTATTACTCTAAAAATGCTTAAAAGCCTCAAAAATTTTATTAAATGTCTTACATAGGTGTGAGACCCACATAGAATCTCACACCCATATAAGATATTTAGTAAAATTTTTGATAGAATATTTAGATCTCTAGCATTACCCTTATTACTCTACCAAATTTGAAATAGATGAATGGGGACAAATCCTTTTCATTCAATGTTGCTAAATGCTAATAGAACAATGCTATATATATATATATATATATAAATCAATTAGTGTACCAACAGATGATGTGACATAATTTTAGAGATTTTAAATATTTATAATTGGTATAATAAGTGAGATCAATAATAATAATATAACACAAGTTGATATATTAATTAGTGCATGTAGTACCACCAACGTTAATAAGTATCTTTTATGCATTATTTAATCTTAGAAAGCGTGTTTAAAATATTTTAGAAATTTGTAAAAATGTTAAAAATATATTGATTTTAGAAGAAAAAAAAAACATACATTGGATTTAATGAGAAGTGTTTATATTCTTCAAATTTTTTTGTCATGTACTTTATACCTCGGGGCACTTGCTAGTAAGACGTTTTAATATATGCTATATGACTCATGCTATCTACGAGATAAAATAACATATTATTTATAAAAAAAATATATAATAATTATATTTAATTTTTTTCATTCTCTCTCACATATATAAAATGTTATATATAAGTTTAAGAATTTTATAAAATTATATATATATATATATATATAAGTAGGAGCTTAATATACATATAGTTTAATTTTGTGAAGCTCATAAAAATAGTTTTTTTTTTTCAATCCCATAGAAAACAAATTTAATTGTTACAATTTATTGTTTTATATTCAAAAATCAAAATCAATATAGATTTGTAAATATTTTAAAAAGTTTTAATTGTCAATAAATTTTGATAAGATTGTAATTGTGTAAAATTTTAAAAAGAGGTTATTTAATAGGTGTTATTTATTTTTTTATTTAAAACTCAAATTCAGTTAATTTAGTCATGTAATTAAAATTCTAAAATAGCTTAGTCAATAAGTGCATTTTACTTTTTAAATTCAAAATCAACATATTTAGTCAACACATATTTTAAAATTTTTCAATATTTGGAGTAATTTGTAATCAAGTATGACGTTTATAAATTATAAGATCCAACGGAATAAGATTTTATTGGAGATCAATCCAAGTAAAATTAGTGAAATATCCCTCTCCAACTTTTGATATTATGAGAGATTCAGTATGTTTTTTTCTTATTGTTTAAGGTTACTCAATAATATTATTAGAGAAATTTCAACTTGACATAGAGAAATTTTTTTTTAAAAAAAACTGAATTTTTTTCTCTGTTCTAAAATTTCTATGTGAAAATGTTGAAGAACCCTAACTACCATGAAAATGTTGCATCTATTTTATCTTATAAAATCTTAATATCAAGAACCTTAAACTACAAATCCCTTAATCCAAGTCTTCTTTTTAATTTTTTAAAAATCTAAATTCAACAAATTTAACTTTTAGTCAATACAATTGATTTTATTTTTGTATATTTTAAAGAAGGTCAGGCAATATATGCTTTTAAATTTGTTTTAAATCTAAAAATTAACAAATTAAGTTGTTACGTGTACTTTTTGTTCTATTTAAAAAAAACATAAAAATTAAAAAAAAATATTGTAAACTCAAGTAGCAAATTGTAGATTTGTTTTTAATTTTTTTAATAATATCTTTGGTTTCTTCAATTGAATTTGGTTGTAATTTTTTTTCCATTCTTTAATTTTTTTTAAAAAAATTTAGCTGTGTATATTTTTGCAAACAATATCATGTATTATGAGTCAAACGAAAATGAGAGATGCTAGAAATAGAGATACAAAAAATATGAAATAGATAATGATAGATAAAATCGTGTATGAAATGTATTTTAAGCCTATAAAATCTATATAATAAGGCAGAAGTGATTTTGAAAATGTCCTATACACATTTGTCCTATTAGGACATTTGAACGGTTAAGATTCATTTCTGCTTGAGGATGGATAGTAGAGATAGACTCTTCTCTCTCACTCAACCTCAACTTCCTGTCCAAGAACACTTCAAAAATAAACCTATCTGTCTCCTAGTCTCTACAGAAGAGAGACTCACGCTCATCAAATTCTCTCTCTCTCTCTCTCTCTCTCTCTCTCACATTTCAATAATTTGAACCGTTCATATTTTAACATTTGTCAAAAATATTATCTCTGTAAAAAATCAAGCCGATTAGATAATAGAAATTGCATGTTTAAATTAATTTTATATGAATTGTTTATTTTCTAATTGTTCATTTTTTTCATACAAAACTAATCTGAATATGTAATTTTCGTTATTTAATCAATTTAATTTTTTGCATGAATAATATACTCGAAAAATCCTAAAATGTTTTTTGCATGAATGATATACTCGACGAATTATAAAATGTGAATGGTTTGTGTTATTGAAAAAGAGCTCAAAGTAGGTCCAATGAACCCAACAATACGTCTTCAGTCTAATTTGAAACTGGTAAGAAGCCAAGCCCCAATAAAAAGAATTATGCTAGGGACCCTAAGTAATGTATTAAATTTTCTACCAAACTTCTCAGATAGGTGTGGGACCCACACACATGTGTATTGTGCGGGAAATCTCACATCGGTCTGTGAGGGACTACTTTCCCACCTTATAAGCAGGCTGGCTCCTCTTACCTTGCATAGGCCTTTTCTCCCAGTGGAGGAGGAACAAAATCGTGCGGTCGGAATGCCAAAGCGGACAATATGTGCAAGGCACAGGGACCGGTGGCTTTAATTGGCGCCGTCTATGGGAACGTTTAATAGACAAACTCTTGTCTTCCAAGCTCATCTGATTGCCTTCCATGGCGAACAATGATGAGATACCATTGTTCGCCGTCGACGGTGTTACCTCGGAGTCAGCCAGACGGAGAGATGGACTCCCTGCCGTTCCAAACATGGCGGCTTGGAGACTTCGCCAGGAGGACATTCAAGTGACGCGTGGGATAAGCGTGGTAGAAGTTTTGGTAACTCTCGGAGCCCAGACGGGCACCGGTGGTGACGAGAATCGCACGCCAGGCGTCTAGAGCACAAGTTAAGGGACCAAGACGCCGTC